ATCTCATGGACCATCCTTTTCCCAGTGACTTATAATGACACTTACGTCATATATCAAGTTTCCATATTTACTGTGGTCTGCTTCTGGGCTCTCTAATCTGTTCTACTGATCTGTTTGCCCCTGTGTCAATACAATACTTTAAAATTATTATGACTTTCAAATGTATCTAGATATCTGGTAGGACAGGCCCCCCCACCTTGTTCTTCAGAATTGCCTTAGTCATTCTGAGCCTTTTTGTCCACATATATTTTAGAATCATTGTATTATGTTCTACTAAAAAAAAACCCAAACCCCCAAACCCTATTGGGAGTTTTATTGAAATTGTATTGAATCAGTTTGGGTCAATTTTCATCTTTATGATATTAACTTTTCCTATCCATGAACATAGTATATCTCTACTTGTAACTAGTTCTTTTTTGTGGTTTTGTTTTTGTTTTTATTTTTTCAGGCTGTGCCGTGTGGCTTGTGGGATCTTAGTTCTTGACAGGGATCAGACCTTCCCTGCAGTGGAAGCTCAGAGTCCTAACCACTGGACTGCCAGGGAATTCCCAGCTAGTTCTTAAATATATTTAGATAAGTGTTTATAATTTTCTTCATAAAGATCTTGTACATCTTTTTTTTTTTTGGAATGCGTAGCTTGTGAGACCTCAGTTCCCCAACTAGGGATTGAACTTGGGCCACGGCAGTGAAAGCCTGGAATCCTAACGACTAGGCCACCAGGGAACTCCCCATCTTTTGTTAAATTAAGATATTTAGGAAGGAATAAATATTATGTGTTATTATTAAATCTTTTTATTATTATGCTGCTATTTTTCCTTAAATTGCACTCTTAAAAATTGTTGTTGGTATACACAGGAATATGATTTATTTTTGAATATTGATCTCCAGCAAAATTGAGGAATTCTCACTTTTTCTTACATTTAGTTTTTAGTTCACTTCAAAGCTGTAATTTAAAGAGACGGATAGTTCTACATTTGTGATGAGAAAGAGAGACAGGTGATTCTGCAACATTTGTTATGAAAAGCAGCCTGTCCTCTTCTCTTTCCTGCTCCAGCCACTACCGGGCAATTCCTTCTGTTGTTTTCAGCTGATTGTTTTATAACACATATATACTGCTCTTTCTTGAGCTTTCGATTTAGACATTGTTCTTTAATTTCCACTATGGATGATGAGGCTTTAGCTCATTTTTTCTCCCTCTCCATCACCCTGTCCTCTCGGTACATAATATGAATTAGATCACTTGTATTATTACTTGTGTGGTTTCTATTTATAACTGAATCGGGTAGTGACACATAATTTTATCTTTTCTGCACAATTTTTTTAATAAAAATTGTTATAACAATTGTTTTTTTGTTTGTTTGTTTTTTGTGGTACGCGGGCCTCTCACTGTTGTGGCCTCTCCCGTTGCGGAGCACAGACTCCGGACGCGCAGGCTCAGCGGCCATGGCTCACGGGCCCAGCCGCTCCGCGGCATGTGGGATCTTCCCGGACCGGGGCACAAACTCGTGTGCCCTGCATCGGCAGGCGGACTCTCAACCACTGTGCCACCAGGGAAGCCCATAACAATTGTTTTTATTTGTTGGTTTGTTTCTTAGTTTCATATGTCTTATCTGTGTAATTTTTTTTAAAAAAATATTTATTTATTTAGGCTGTGCTGGGTCTTAGTTGTGGCATGCAGGATCTTTAGTTGCAGCATGCAGGCTTCTTAGTTGCAGCATGCTGACTTTTTAGTTGCAGCATGCGGACTCTCAATTACAGCATGTATGCGGGATCTAGTTCCCGACCAGGGATTGAACCCAGGCCCCCTGCCTTGGGAGTGCGGAGTCTTACCCACTGGACCACCAGGGAAGTCCCCGTCTGTGTAATTATGCCTACATAAGGACCACATTCTCTACTGATTCAATAAATTTGTTCTCAAGACATTCTAATACTCTAGCGCAGATTGTTTGCTGTCTGTCTGTCACCAACAGTCAAACTCAGAATTTCGTTTCACCTATCCTAGGGATTTCCTCAGCCTCTCTCACATATTAGATCACCAGTTCCCTGTATCTTGTATCGTGATTTCTTTATTTTGGTGGAACATAGTTTCCTGACAAGGAAACTATAAGGTAAATTCTCCAGGACTTCAAGGTTCTGAAATTTCCTCTCAGTGTGTTTAGATGTGATTTTTTTTTTTTTAACTTATCCTGCTTGGGACTTGTACTTCCTAGACCTAAGAATTCATATCTTTTATAAATTCTGGACAATTATGAGTCTCATCTCTTCATATATTGCCTCTTCTCACTCTGTTTATTCTTGTCTTCTGGAACACAGATTAGGTACATGATCTTCTTATTTCAATATCCAGATCCCTTAATTCTCTTTCATATTTTCCATGATTTTCTCTTTCTTTTTAGCAGTCTGGATAATTTCTTTGGATCTATATGCCCCTTTACTATTTTTCCTGAGTGTTTAAACTGTCCATTTAGTTTTTAATGTCAAAGACTAAATTTTTAATTTCTTTAAGTTCTGCTTGGTGCGTTTTTTTTGTTTTGTTTTGTTTTGTTTTGCGGTACGCAGGCCTGTCACTGTTGTGGCCTCTCCCGTTGCGGAACACAGGCTCCGGACGCGCAGGCTCAGCGGCCATGGCTCACGGGCCCAGCCGCTCCGCGGCATGTGGCATTTTCCCAGACCGGGGCACGAACCCGTGTCCCCTGTGTTGGCAGGCGGACTCTCAACCACTGCACCACCAGGGAAGCCCTGCTTGGTGCTTTAAAAAATCATACCGGGGCTTCCCTGGTGGCGCAGTGGTTGAGAATCTGCCTGCCAATGCAGGGGACACAGGTTCGAGCCCTGGTCTGGGAATATCCCACATGCCACGGAGCAGCTAGGCCCGTGAGCCACAACTACTGAGCCTGCGCGTCTGGAGCTTGTGTTCTACAACAAGAGAGGCCGCGACAGTGAAAGGCCCGCGCACCGCGATGAAGAGTGGCCCCTGCTTGCCACAACTAGAGAAAGCCCACATACAGAAACGAAGACCCAACACAGCCAAAATTAAAATTAATTGATTAATTAATTAAAAAAAAAAGTAAAGCAAACCAAGTAAAATTCAAAAAAAAAAATCATACTGGTCTTTATTTTTTGTACATCTTTTCTTTTCCTGCTTATTTTATACTTTCTATTTGATAGTTTGATTATCTGATGTTCTTGGGTCTAATCCTGCTCTTTGTTGTCTCTGATGATGTGCACTTACACTGGAGTTCTTGTAATTTTGGATTTTAAGCTCATCTTCAGGACAGGGTTATCTCTTGGAGTACCATGTGGCCTAGGTTAAGGATGTGTCCTCCTGGAGACATTTTATTTTTTCTGTGGGTACTCATAATAGCACTATTCCAGGACTTGGTTTTTTGTTTATTTATCAGCATTGAGCTCCTTGGACCACATGTGTAGTATACATCTGAACCTACAACCCAGTGAAAGCAGGCCTGTTGTTATGAATTTTCAGAAAGGACTTTTTCCTTTACTCAGGACCCAAGGCAAGATGCAGCAACATCTTTGTCATCTTCTGTGTGGGTAGGGAGACTTTTTTTTCTAATCCACCATTTCACTGGCGTGCTTGAGGGATCCCAGTTCTGGAGAGAAGCTTGCTTCCTGATTCTGCCTGGGCACTGATGCCCAAGTCTCTGGATCACAGAGCTGGGCAGTGCCCTCTTCCCTGCCCATCCTGTCCACTTTGGCTACAGCTGCATCAGCTTAGCTGCTCCTGATCTGGTTTTCAGCTCCCTGTTTGGGGATCCCTGCTGATTTCCTTTACTTTCTTTCTTTTTTTTTTTTTTTTTAATTATTTTTGGCTGCTTTGGGTCTTCGTTGCTGCGTGCAGGCTTTCTCTAGTTGCGGTGAGCGGGGGCTACTCTTCGTTGCAGTGCACAGGCTTCTCATTGTGGTGGCTTCTCTTGTTGCGGAGCACAGGCTCTAGGTGCGCGGGCTTCAGTAGTTGTGGCTCATGTGCTCTAGAGCACAGGCTCAGTAGTTGTGACGCACAGGCTTAGTTGCTCCGCGGCATGTGGGATCTTCCCGGACCAGGGCTCGAACCCACGTCCCCTGCATTGGCAGGCGGATTCTTAACCACTGTGCCACCAGGGAAGTCCCTCCTTTACTTTCTTGCAAGCCTTGCCATGCAGTGAAAAGGAAGTTTGTTATAGCTGATCTAGCATTTCTAGGTGTTCTGTAGTAGGGAGATTTTTTTTGTCCACAGTATTGCCATTTGTACTTTTTAAACTTAGAGATAAAGGAGAAAAGTATATCTGGCTGGGAGGATCAGCAAAGGCCTTAGAGATGAATGTCAGAGCATAGGGACATTGGAGGGGTCACAGCAGGTGCAAAAGCATGGAGGCAGGAAATGACCATGCAGGTATGGAGAAAAGCACATAACTTTCTTTCACTGGAGTGTGTCAGGGAAGAGGAAAACGAAGTCAGAGGTAGACCACAGAGCAGCAGATGGCTATTACAGTCTCACAGCAGAGAATACCAGGATCACAAGCTTTGTTTCAGGAAGTTTAAACTGGAAGCATATCCAGGATGAATGGATGTGGGTGGCAGCAGGTGGGAGAGGGGTGTGGATTTGAAAAAATGATCCTGGAGGCGGTGGAAATAGTCCAGGCGATAGGTAGTATGGCCTGAATGGGGTAGTAGTGGGTAGAGAAGGAGGGCGAGAGAGACTCAGCTGAACCAGATAAAGAAATCTAGGTCAAGAGCTGGGGGGAAAATAGAAGAAAAGCCAGGCAAGCACATTGTCTGAATCCTGGGAAATGAATTTAAAATGTCAACAATTATCTGAGCTGCGTTCTACCTTTTAAAATTGTTCAGATACTGCCCACAAATGCTTACACGCAGTTCATCTTGACTCTGTAGGCAGCTAAAGATGTTTTTAGGCCATCTGATGAACAGTTGTCTTTGGATTAGAGACAGCATGTCCCAATAGAGCTCCCAGAAGTAAGTCCGGATGTGTTTGTCTTTCCCAGAACCTGCTGACATGACTGATCATGGGGATGATGAGCTGTCCTCTAGGACAGGGAGTCCAGACGAGGAAGGTCGGGTCCCTGAGGAGAGATCCTTGCTGCATCAGAGTCTGGCCGTCAGGGAACTCATCGACACCGAGGTCTCCTACTTACACGTGCTCCAGCTCTGTGCCTCGGACATTAGGAGCCACCTGCAGCAGGTACCTGGGTGGGGCCACACTCAGCTTGTCTTTATAGGGGCAAGTGTGAGTCCCAGCTCCTGAAACCTCACATCTGTTCCTGGTGCAGGCTTGATGGAGGGGAAAGTGTGGTGGATGTGAAGTCACCTGGACGTAAGCCCCGGTACTTCCACTTACTGGCCCTGCAACCTTCAGCAAGGCTTTTAACACCTTGGAGCCTTAGTATATTCATCTGCTAAATGGACAGAGAGTACTCACCTCAGAGAATTAAGTGAACTAATGGATAAAATAGCCCTTTATTAAGTTTAGAACAGATTATTTTAAGTGACCTATTTCTAATTGTCTCATTTGGAGGGTGGTAACATGGAAAAGTTATCATTATGATGGGTTTCTATTTTAGTGTTAATTTTTTACATCTTTTTCCCCCCTGATTTCAGAAATAACACAGGCTGTCTCTCTAAAATGTCAAGCATCCCCTAGCATGTAAGGTACATAAGGGGAAAGGCTGTTTAGTTCAATGTATCCCAGTTCTTGACTCGTAAACAGTGGGCTTCAACTAGTGTTTACTGAATGAATGAAATAATCAAATAGATAATGTAGAAGGTGAAAGCCCTCTCATATTTCACCCTCTAGAAATTAGGATTTTTCTCTGTAGGCATTAAACAAACAAATATAGATTGTTACTTATTTTATTTGTTGTTTGTTTGTTTTTGGCTGCACCAGACGGCTTGTGAGATCTTAGTTCCCTGACCAGGGATCGAACCTGGGTCCACAGCAGTGTTGGGGTTAAGACAGCCCGAGTCTTAACCGCTGGACTGCCAGGGAAGTCCCTGTTACTTATTTTAGTAAAAATAAGAGCATACTCTATTCTTCTACAGTTAGCTTTTCCCACTTGATTGTGCATCCAGGACGTCTGTCTCTATATATATCCTATATATGTTCATGCACATATATAGATGTCCTGCATCCTTTTTAACAGTGGGATAGCTTAGTTCATAGGGAATGGAGTTCAGAATATATCTCAAGGTAATGGTGGTAGGTGCCAAGTATGTCAGAGCTGGAAAGAAGTCCAACTTCCCACACTTACATGACAGATGGGGAAAATGAGAGAAGAAAAATTATAGTTGGCAGCAGACCTAGGATAATACAGTTCAGCTTTCCTTTCATGCTGAGCACTTCGTCTCTCTCTCTCTCTTCTTGTAGAGTAATGAAAATACCTAATTATAAAACTTCAAAGTCCTTGCAAACATTACACTGGGACAGTCTTCCCAAGAGTGGTGGAACCCCAATGATGTGACTGTTCCGGACTACTGTCCAAAGCCTCCAAAAAAAGTCACTCTACTGAACTCCTAAGCGACCTCCCATGGTGCCTTTGTTCCTTCCAGCTGCCGCAGGGAGATCTGGATGTCCTGTTCTCAAATATCGATGATATCATCAAGGTGAACAGCAAATTGCTTCATGATCTGCAGGAGACAGCCTCCAGGGAAGAGGAACAAGTGCAGCTGATTGGTAAGCAAAATACCAGGCAGTTAGCAGCCTGAGATTCCTGAGGAATTGGTCTTGGCATGTGATCATTGCTGTATTTTCTCCAGCATTCCAGGGAAATGCAGCTCAATGAGAGGCTGTTTTGGGGATCCCTGAAATATAGCATGTCAGAGCTGGCAGGACCCTCAAATAACATCCAATCCAACCCCATCACTACAGATGAAGAGACTGAGGCCTAGAGACAGGGAGGACATCCTAATGGACACAAAATTGGTTAGTGGAGTGGCTGAGACTTTCTTCTGGGATTCTTTCACACTCATTCATTCAACAGTTATTTACTGAGCCCCTGCAGTGTGCCAGTCACTGTGCTGTGTGTTGGGGTCACAGCATCAACCAGAGGGTCCAATCTTCTGTTCTCATGGGTTAACAAGTTAGCGAGAGAGACAGATGACACACAGATAAACAGGAGAATTTTAAGTAGTAATTTGTAATTTAAAGAATTACAATTTTAGTAACGTTTGAGAAAAGAGAAGCCCTCCTGAGGAGAGGACACTTGAACTGAGAGCTGTTAGGGAGGAGCCAGCTATGAGAAGATCTGGAGGGAGAGTAGAGAGAAGAGCTATGCAAAGGCCCTGAGGCAGGGGTGAGCCTGGGAATTTTGAAGGACAGGCAGAAAGAAGCCTGGTGTGGCTCCAGGGGAATGAGTGAGGGGAGAGTATTAGGAGATAAGATAGCAGAGGCAGAGAAGGACCAGATCCTGCAGGGTGTTCTAGGTCTTGGTAAGTAGTGTGGATTTTATTCTACATGTGATGAGAAGTCATTGGACAGTTTTGAGCAGGGAAGTGATATCAGATTTGTTTTTCAAAGATCCCCTTGGTAGCTGTGGACAATGGATTGTGAGAGGGTAGCAAGAGTGGAAGTAGCGAGACCAGCTGGTGGCTTTACCTCCACCTAGGTGAGAGATGAAGGTAGACTCCTAATTCTGAAATGGTTAGGATGACCAGACGTAAAGAAGGAGGGACAAGTGGGTATAAACCTCATCCCTGTCTTCTGCAGTCTCTTCGCATCTGCTTGACAAAATTTCTGTGGTCAAGGGTTTTCAAGTGGAGTCAGGCGACAAGGGTGAATGGTGTTAGGCAGAAAAGAGGATGAGGTGGGGGCATCCACCCAAGTCACGCTGGTCTTTACACCCCCAATCTTCTACCCTTTCTTAGACATGAATGATGATGGTGGGGATTAAAAATAACAAATATACACATTTTGAAAAAGCCAACTTTCTGAGTGTTCATTAAATGACCAGCACTCTTCTGATGTACATGTATTAACTCATTTAATCCTCACAAGAACCCTGAATGGTAGTTGCTGTCATCTTATTTCCCAGTTGAAGAAACTGAGGCACAGAGAGAGGAAGTAATCTGCTTAAGGTCATCCAGCTAGTGTCAGAGCCAGGAGGATGTGCATTGCGGCAGGTGGCCTCTGGAGCCCGTGCTCTCAACTACTGCACTGAACAGCTTCCATGCAGTAGAGAGTGGGATTGAAGCCTGTGTATAGTGTGTTTACTATTCTCCTCAGATTATGATTCTTCATTAAAACAGCAATGTGAAAGAGTGACTATTTCTTTTAAATAGAGGAATATTTAAATGCAAAATTAAGGAACAAGATTTTTTTTTTAAGTATCTGGGTAGATATTCTTACCTTTTATCATTTTATCCTTATTTCTGTTAATAATTACCACTTATTTGAGAGGAAATTGTCATAACCTCAGGTTGAAGACAATCCAAGGTTCTGGGGACTCTGAGGTTAGCATCTTCTGTTGCTATGGGTTCTAGGGTCCACTAATTCCTTGTTAAGGGTCCTCACTTATCCATCTCTGCCTTCCTGCTTGATCTGCAAAGAGTCAAGGTGCTACTTTGTCTTCTGAGCGTACCTGGTAATATCTCCATTCCCTGCCTTCACTACTTCCCTGGTGGAGTTGCCACATAAAATACAGGATGCTCAATTATATTTGAATTTTACATAAGCAATGAATAATGTTTTAGTATAAGTATATCCCACGGGACATTTGGGACATACTTATACTAAAATATTCTTCATTATTTATCTGAAATTCAAATTTAACCGAGCATCTTGTATCCCCCACTCGCTAATTTGGCAAACCTATTCCCTGGCCTTTACTGAGTCTACAGAAAATAGCCTCCTCATCCTCTGCCTCTTGTGGTTAGCCAAAAAGAGGTGCAAAGAATCCACATAGCTTTTCTTCTCCTAGGTTCAACTTTGTGCCTAATCAAGGCTGAGCTGGCTCCTACCAGTTCTCTCTATTCCCCTCTCAGCCCCCAGGCCCTGCTATGCAAGGAAGGCCCTTTTCCCAATTCCATAGCCATGGCATTTTAAATTTATTTATTCATTTATTTATTTTTGGCTGCGTTGGGTCTTCATTTCTGCGTGCGGGCTTTCTCTAGTTGCAGTGAGCGGGGGCTACTCTTCGTTGCGGTACATGGGCTTCTCATTGCTGTGGCTTCTCTTGTTGCACAGCATGGGCTCTAGGCATGTGGGCTTCAGTAGTTGTGGCACGTGGGCTCAGTAGTTGTGGCTCACGGGCTCTAGGGCGCAGGCTCAGTAGTTGTGGCGCACAGGCTGCGTTGCTCCGCGGCATGTGGGATCTTCACGGACCGGGGCTCGAACCTGTGTCCCCTGCGTTGGCAGGCGGATTCTTAACCACTGTGCAACCATGGAAGTCCCAGCACCAGCATTTTAAAAGATTTTTGGACCTTGGGCGTGAACCTCCCAAGTGAGTCAGGTTCTGTGTTCTTATAAATGATTCCAAACACGATGCAGATGTTCACAGGAGTTCCCACACAGGGTCCTATCATGGGAAGGCATCATGCTGTAGTCCAGTGTTGTCTAAAAGAAATGTAGTGTGAGCCAAATTTAAAGTTTTTGAGTAGCTACATTAAAAAAACTAAAGCAGGTAAAATTAATTTTAATGATATATCTCGTTTAACCCAATGTATCCAAAATAATATTTCAACATGTAATCAATATAAAACTTATTCATGATACATTTTACTTTTTTTTTGGTACAGTCTTTGCAATCTGGTGTCTTTCACACTGACAGCACATCTCAGTTGGGATTCTCCATATTTCAGGTGCCCAGTAGCCATCTGTGGCCGTGGCTTGCAGGTTGAGTGGTTTAGAGCAGGGGCCTTGGAGTCTGACTCGCAAGGTTCTGCCACCCACAGCTCCTTCATGTCTCTGAGCTTCAGTTTCATGCCTTCTGCATGAAAATAGTACCCATTTCTGTGCCAGCCATGACTGTGGGTACCTAACATGTAGTAGCCCTTTTTATTCTCATGACACTGTTACTTGTTGATTATTATTATTATTATCCCCATTTTACTAAAGGAAAACCCGAGACTCAGAGAGGTTAATTAACTTTCCTAAGGTCACACAGCTTGACCAGGCTGAGTCATGATTTGAACAGCTCTTTCAGACTACAGCCCCAGCTCTTGGCCTTCCTGCCTCCCTTTCTCATTTCTCCCAACTAGAGGTAGAGTACCGTTTTGATACTGGGAGTAACTCTTTGCTGCTGTGACTTCTTTCCAATCTGTGACTAAGGAAGGGCAAGAGGAGAGGAAATAAGTCTTTGGTGCCCCAAGCATTCCTGCCTGTTGGACAGCTCTGCTTTCTGCTCTAGGGGAGTTTGCCTTCCTCCACCCTTCAATTACTGAAGTGCCCCTGCCTCTGGCCATGTACTGGTATGGTAAGGTTTCTTTGGCATTAGTTGCATTTCTGCAGAATCACCCTAGTAATGAAGAATATGGGAACTGCCCTAGGTTTTAGGGCTATGCCCAAGCTATCTCTTAGTGAGATCAGCTGGCTGATCTCCCTATCATACACATTCTCCCTAGCTGCAGTTTCAGGTAATCTTTCCTGGTCATGTTCTCCCTTGTTCTGGGGGCTTCTCCTGAGAGAGTTCTCTCTGAGGGTTGGCTTGACCAGCACTGGGGAGAGGGTTTGGTTCCTGGGGTGGGAGTCTTGCTGTGGGAGTCTTTGTTGAGAGCTGGACGACGCTGGCCTAGGTATCATCTGATGTGTCTCAAGGGGGGGCCTGTTGTATTTCACGGGTACAATGCACAGCATTAGCAAGCAGTAGGGTCACCTGGGCTTCCCGTGGTCCATGGCTTACTTGCCCTTTTGTGACTAATACATTTCTCTTCGCCCTCACCACTTTCCCCCAGATAGACAACCAAATACTCTTGCCTGGGTCTTTTTAGTAGCCATCTAATAGCTATTCCTATTTCCATTTTGACTTCTGGTTTAGTCTCAGCATAGTATAGCTCTAATAGACTTTATTTTTTAGAGCACTTTTAGAGTTACAGAAAAATTAAGTAGAGGGAATTCCCAGTGGTTAGGACTCTGCACTTCCATTGCAGGGCACAGGTTTGATCCCAGGTCGGGGAGCTAGGATCCCACAAGGCACACAGCATGGCCAAAAAACAAAACAAAACAAAAGCAAAAAAAAACAAAAAGAAAAAATAAGTAGGGACTTCCTTGGTGACGCAGTGGATAAGAATCTGCCTGCCAATGCAGGGGACGTGGGTTCGATCCCTGGTCTGGGAAGATCCCACATGCCGTAGAGCAACTAAGGCCGTGTGTCACAACTACTGAGCCTGTGTGCCACAACTGCTGAAGCCTGTATGCCTAGAGCCCATGCTCCGCAACAAGAGAAGCCACTGCAATGAGAAGCCTGCACACCGCAATGAAGAGTAGCCACAACTAGAGAAAGCCCACATGCAGCAATGAAGACCCAATGCAGCCAAAAATAAATAAAATTAAATCTGTAAAAAAAAGAAAATTAAGTAGAAAGTACAGAAAGCTCCCATGTACCCCTCCCCCCACACAGTTCCCCCTATTATTAACACCTTGCCTTAGTGTGGTACATTTATTATAACTGACAAATGAATATTGATATATTATTATTGACTAAAGTCCATAGTGTACATTGGGGTTCACTCTGTGTGTTGTTCAGTTCTGTGGGTTTAGAATAATGTATAATGTACGACGCCACCATTACAGTTTCATACATAGTTTCCCTTATCTAAAAATGCTTTGTGCTCTGCCTGTTCATCCCTCCCCCAACCCCAACCCCTGGAAACCACTGCTCTTTTTACTGTCTCCATAGTTTTACCTTTTCCAGAATGTCATATTGCTGGAATCATACAGTATGTAGCCTTTTCAGAGTTGCTTCTTTCATCTAGTAATATGCATTTAAGGTTTCTCAGTGTTTTTTCCTGGCTTGATATCTCATTTCATTTTTATCACTGAATCATACTCCATTGTATGGATATAGTACAGTTTATTTATCCATTCACCTACTGAAGGACAAGTTGGTTGCTTCCAGGCTTTGGCAATTATGAATATAGCAGTTATAACATTAGCGTGCAGGGTTTTGTTTTTTTTAATAAATTTATTTATTCATTTATTTATTTTTGGCTGCGTTGGGTCTTCATTGCTGAGCGCTGGCTTTCTCTAGTTGCGGCGAGTGAAAGCTACTCTTCGTTGCGGTGCGCGGGCTTCTCATTGCTTCTCTTGCTGTGGAGCACAGACCCCACGGCACGTGGGCTTCAGTAGTTGTGGCACACGGGCTCAGTAGTTGTGGCTCACAGGCTCTAGAGCGCCAGCTCAGTAGTAGTGGCGCACGGGCTTCGTTGCTCTGTGGCAAGTGGGGTCTTCCCAGACCAGGGCTCAAACCCATGTCCCCTGCACTGGCAAGCGGATTCTTAACCATTGGTCCACCAGGGAAGTCCGCGTGCAGTGTTTTAAAAAGTCTTTTATTTAAAGTTTCTTTTTTGTTGTAATAAAATATATATAACATATAAAATTTACCATTTTAACCATTTTTAAGTGTATAGTTTAGTGACATTAAGTACAGTCACATTGTTGTTCCACCATCACCACTGTTCATGTCTAGAACTTTTTCCTCATCCTAAACTGATGACCAGCCCCTGGTGGCCACTATTCTACCCTCTGTCTCTGACTACTCTAGGTACCTCATATAAATGGAATCATATAGTATATGTATTTTTGTAACTGGTTTATTTCACTTAGCATGATGTCTTCAAGGTTCTTTTTACACTTTTTATCTTGAAATAATTTTAGACTTATAGAAAAGTTACAAAAATAATACAGAGAGCTCCTATATACCCTTCTTCCAGCTTCCCCTAATTTTTACATCTTACATATCCATAGTGCAATTATTAAAATGAGGAAATTAACATCAGTGCAATACTATTAACTCTACAGACCTTATTCAAATTTTGCCAGCTTTTTATTTTTCTATGCTGGGTCTTTGTTGTGGTGCGTGGGCTCTTTGTTGCGGCAGGCTTCTCTCTAGTTGTGGCACGCAGACTCTCTAGTTGTGACACACAGGCTTAGTTGCCCCGCAACATGTGGGATCTTAGTTCCCCAACCAAGGATTGAACCCGCATCCCCTGCATTGGAAGGTAGATTCTTAACTCCTGGACCACTAGGGACGTCCCACCCATTCATTTCTTTTTTTTTTTTTTTTTAAATAAATTAATTGTAGTTATTTATTTATTTTTGGCTGCATTGGGTCTTCGTTGCTGCACGCAGGCTTTCTCTAGTTGCAGTGAGTGGGGGCTACTCTTTGTTGCAGTGTGTGGGCTTCTCATTGCAGTGGCTTTCTCTTGTTGTGGAGCACAGGCTCTAGGCGCTCGGGCTTCAGTAGTTGTGGCATGTGGGCTCTAGAGCACAGGCTCAGTAGTTGCGGTGCACAGGCTTAGTTGCTTCGTGGCATGTGGGATCTTCCCAGACCAGGGATCTAACCCGTGTCCCCTGCATTGGCGGGCAGATTAACCACTGTGCCACCAGGGAAGTCCCTCACCCATTCATTTCTTTATTCAACTATTTATATAAGTATAAACTCATGAATATTTACTTTATTCCATGAGTCAGAATCCAGTACTATTAATATTCATTTTCTTGCTCAAATTTTACCAGCTTTGGCCATAGGGAACTCTTTCAAGTTGGCACCTGTGTCCTTTCAGTATGTCTCCAACAATTTGTGAGCACTTTCTTACTTTCTGACCCCACAAGATGTTCTAGGCTCATCTTGTATTTTCCTTGCCTCAACCTTGGAATCAGCTTTTTTCCTAGGAGCTTTGGTTCCTACCTTTGGAGAATGGTATTTAGACACCAGGTTCTAAGATCTAGGTGTGCTCATTGCTCCTGGGGTGTCATTGTTTCTAGGCCCTCTTAGCTGACAGAGTTAGGAAATATATGTATATATACCAACACATGCATGTACACATATCTACATTTCCTTCTGTATCTGTCCATCCATATTTATATATTTAAAATATTTAAAACCATGAGTTCCTACTGATAACCTCCAATTCCAGTCTAGCACCTCAGGGTTCTTTCTAGTCTTTCGCCTTTTCTTATTTGTAGCATCTTTCTGTGACAGGTAGAAATGGCTGCTATTATCTTCAATGTATTTACTTATTTGTTCGAAGTTAGTAGACACATAAAATATTTTTTTATTATGTTATAATCAGCATTACTAACCTGTGCCTTTGTGAAAAATAGTTACATTAATTTCTTCCTACACCCTTCAGTGTGGTTATGTTATTCCTTTGTAATAGAATTAGGTTCATTCCTTATTGTTTGTATTCTATTTGAGGTTCCCCCTCCACATCCTGGTTGGTCTTAATTATATATTTATTTTGGGAGTATGTGAAACATTACCATGGTTCCAAGATCTGAGCTATATAGAAAGGTATATTCAGCGAAGCATTGCTCCCCTCTCATCCCTACTTCCCTGACCCATTCCCTGTTCTTTCCACCCTGTTCTATCTCCCCTTACAAATAATCACTCTCATAAGTTTCTGATTTTAAAATATAGAACACGTCACAAATTTGCATGTCATTCATGTGCAGGGGCCATGCTAATCTGTCCTGTGTTATTCTACCTTTAATGTATGTGCTCTGAAATTGAGCATGGGAATGATCCTTTTCAAACAGAAACCAGATCATGTCACCCCTGCTCAAAACCCTCCATTTGCTTTCTGCCACCATAAGAATAAAATCCAAACACCTTACTACACCTTACTTACTTACTTTAAGGCCCTACATGATCTGGCTTCAGTTTCCTGTTTATTTTCTCTACTTTGTGCCCTTGCTCATTGTGTTCCAGCTGCACAGTTCCTTCTTGTGTCACCCACCTGTCAAGTGGTCACTTGCCTTCAGGTCTTTGCATTTGTCCTTCCCTAAGCCTGGTGCTGCTCTTCCCCCAGACATTCCTAGGGGTGGGTTTTTTTTTTTTTTTTGAATTTTTGCATTTTATTTTATTTATTTTTTATACATCAGGTTCTTATTAGTTATCTATTTTATACATATTACTGTGTATACATCAATCCCAATCTCCCAATTCATCCCACCCACCCACCCCCCTGCCACTTTCCCCCCTTGGTGTCCATACATTTGTTCTCTACATCTGTGTCTATTTCTGCAGGGCTGGGTTCTTTTGGTCTCTGATAAACATCCACGTCTTTATGGAGGTCTTTCCTAAATAGATCTCCTACCACTCTCTAACTCTTTATCTGGCTTTGTTTAGATTTGTGGTACTCACCACTACCTGGCATATGTAATATATTTATTTATTGTCTGTCTTCCCCACTAGAATATCAGCTCCATGAGGCAGGGTCATTGTTTTGGTCACAGAACTTAGAAGAGTGCCTGGCACATAGTCAATAAATAAGCAGTTGGTAAATTTTTGGTGAATGAAGTTTGTGTCAGGTGCTTTACATGCGTTATTTGATTTAATCCTCGCAATGAACATTTGGAGGTGAGCACTATTTTTATTCCAGTCTATAGGTGAAAATATGGAGGGTTAGAGGGGTCAAATACTCGCCCTAAATTACACTACTGGGAAAGGGTTGGCTGGAGATCTGGCCTTACTTCTCTCTGACTCCAAAGCCCACGTTTGTGACTATCCATGCTGTGCTGTAGGGATTCTTTATAAACAGAGCATTTGGAGTTGTACTTGCCACACATAGTAATTGTAAAGATATAACATGAGTGTGTTTTGTAAACTATAAAGCACTGTCCAAATATGAGAATTATCAATATTATTGCTATAATTGTAGCTACCATTTATTAAATATAGACAGCGTACCAGTGTGAGCTCTACATCATTCTATTACTTAATCCTACAGCAGCCTTTTGAAAGTGAGATGAAAAAAATAGAAGCTCAGGAAAATGAGGTGACTTGCCCAAGGCAACAACACTGGTTAAGCCTGGCAGTCTCACTCCAGAGCTGGAATGCTTAGCTGTGTCACTCACCGCCTCTCTGTCCTAAGCAAGAGGACATGCAGACATGCTTTTGAGAACTCCTTGTTGCTTTTCACTGTCAGGCAACTTATTCCTGGAATTCCAAGAGGAGTTGGAGCAAGTCTATAAAGTGTACTGTGCCAGCTATGAACAGGCCTTGCTGCTGGTGGAGGCCTACCGGATGGAGCCACGGCTGCAGCGGGAGATCCAGGACACCATTGAGGCAGTGCTGTGAGTATAATGACCCTCATGGACCCCGAGGTCAGAGGCTGTTAAAGTCTCATCCCTGCTTGGTGCTGCTCACACTGCTTCAGGAGTGTCCCAGTCAGACTAGGCTAGGCTATGCTGCAGAGACAAACAACTCCCAACTCTTTCAGTGGCTTCAACCAACAAGGTTTCTACCTTCCTTATGCTCCACTGCAGGTTAACTTGGGGCTCTTCATGTTGAGACTCAAGCTGACAGCAACTACTGTCTGGAATATTGCCAGTAACTTGGCAAAGGAAAAACGTGCTCTGGGGTTCCTACACTGGTAACTAAATGCTGTTAGTCCAGAAGTGATATTCGTTGCTTCTCAAAATTCATGGGCCAGAACTTATCACATGGCTTCGTCCAGCTACCAGGAGGCCAGGGCCTGCCATCCAGCCATGTGTTCAGAGGTGGAAAAGCAGAAATATTTGGTGAACAGCACTTGTGACTCCCATAGGGAGGGCAGTGAGATGGTGGGAACCATGTGGTGTAAGCAGCAGTGGCAGGAAACAGGTTTGTATCACCTGGGGGGACCTCTCGACAGATGGCTAGAGTCTTGCCCCATGGAAAAGGATCAGAACTGCTCTGGGTGGCCTCGCAGCCCAGAGCTGGCACCAGTGAGTGGGAGCTCCAGGTAGAGGTATGTAGAAAAAAATATTTTTTAATTAAAATTTTGAATGGGTAACAGTTGCATGTTTCAAAAGCTTTAAAACATCTGAATTTACACAGTAAAAAGACCTTTCCAACCCTGTCCTTTTATCCACCCAATTACTGCTCCTACCCACAAAGTTAAGGTAACCACTTTTAAATTACTTATGGATCTTAGCAGAGTTTCTGTATGCCTATACAAGCAAATACAAATATATACTCTTATTTTCCCCATATTTTTAATGAAAGTTTGTAATTTTTTTTTCACTTACATTATATCTTGGAGGTCTTTCCATTTCAATATATACATGTATGATCCTCTGAACGGCCACGTATTATTCTACTCTGTGGCTGTTCTGCAGTTTATTTAACTGGTCTCTGTTGATGGACATTGGTTTGTTTCTATTCTTTTCATATTACAGGCAGTGCTACAGTGATTATTCACAAACATATGTTATTTTACTGAGGTGCAAGTATATCTGTAAGTTAAATTTCCAGATGTGGAATTGCTAGGTCAAAGGAAGTATATATTGATAATTTTGACAATATTGCAAAATTGCCCTCTGTAAAGGTTATACCAGTTAATGTTCCCATGAGCAGCATATGAGGGTGTTTCTCCACAGCGTTACCAGCAGTGTGTTGTTAAACTTTAGAGTATTTACCACTGATAGGTGAAAAATGGCATCTCAGTAATGTTTCACTGTGCATTTATCTCCAGGAGAGGGAAGAGATATGGGAACATATGTATATGTATAACTGATTCACTTTGTTATAAAGCAGAAACTAACACCATTGTAAAGCAATTATATTCCAATAAAGATGTTTAAAAAAAGGTTGATCATCCTTTTTTTTAATATTTATTTATTTTTTGGCTGTGTTGGGTCTTAGTTATGGCATGCCGGATCTTTTGTTGCAGTGCATGGGCTCTTCGTTGCGGCGCGCGGGCTTCTCTGTAGTTGTGGTGGGTGGGCTCCAGAGCGCGTGGGCTCTGTAGTTGTGGTGCGAGGGCTCCAGAGTGCGTGGGCTCTGTAGTTGTGGCACGCAGGCTCTCTTGTTGTGGCACTCGGCCTTTCTAGTTGTGACGCGTAGGCTCAGTTGCCCCACAGCATGTGGGATCCTAGTTCCCTGACCAGGGATTGAACCCGCATTCCCTGCATTGGAAGCGTGGAGTCATAACCACTGGACCGCCAGGGAAGTCCCTTGATATCTTTCTATATATTTAAGAGGTATTTGTATTTCCTTGCCTGTGAATTTTTCTGCTTCTTTTCTGTTTTGAAAAGGCTTATATCTTCCCAAGGACAGGCTCATCAAATGAAGATAGATGAAGGTCATCCTCTGGAAAGCAGAGTAGAGTAGGAGGAACAGAAGTTATTATTGTTATTTCATCTTACTTAGACATTTCCTTTATACCCAAGAGAAAGACAGTGTAGGTTTAGGGCTTTGAAGTTTACATTATCTCATGTGGAGCCTCCTGCTACCTCTCCTCTTTCTCTTCCTTATCTTATCCTTACCCCTCTACTCCCTGAAGCCTCCTTTTGAAGTACCCATGTCCTAACCCATCCCAGCCTTCAAAAAAACCTACATTCATTTTCTCCTTTGTTTCCTTTGATCCCTTCATGGAACTTACAAACTTAGGCTTTTGCAAGGGTCACTAAACACATTTCTGCAGGAGTGAGCAATGAGGAAAGCAAGATGCCAGATGTGGGACAAAAGGGAGTAGTGGAGACTGTGGCAAACCAGAGCCAAGAGACCCTGTATAGAGTGCAGCTGCAGCCCAGCCCCGGCTGATTGTTGCTGTATCAAGTAGCTTTTGCTATATAACAAACCAACCCAAATATAGTGGTTTAAAGTATAAATCATCCCCAAAATATGTTTAAAGCAAACATTTATTTAGGTCACACTTATGCATGTTAGTGGTTTAGCTGGGCTCAGTAAATGATTTTTCTAGTCCTGGCTGAACACCCTCATGTGTCTGTGATCAACTGCGCGTCAGCTTTGCTGATGTTGGCTGGGCTCTCTTATGTATCTGGGACATACAAGCAGACTCAGCTCTGCCTTTTGAGATCTCGGCTTGGAATTGGCATGCTGTGCCAGACTCAAGGGGTGGAGAAGTATTCCTCACTTCTTGATGGGAGAAGCTTCAAAGTCATATTCAAAGGGTGTAGATACAGAGAGTGAAATAATTGCAGCCTTTTTTTTATAAACCATCTCCCTCAGTTGCCATGTAGAAATGTGATTCCACTGTGCCCAGATCCTCTGATCTTTTAAGAGAAACCAGAAACTTTGATGTAAGTCTCCCAAGTGTTAACTATTGGCATCTAGTTCAGACATGTTAGAAACACTATGTGGGGGGCCCTAGTTGGCACAGAGGCTGCTGTTTGTCATGTCTTCTGCACTCAGGTCTTTTTCAGCCAGGCAAGTCCAGGCTTTTCTCATGGGCTTTGACGCCAAGCTGCCTGGCAGCGGATCGGGCTCTGCCCCTTATTCACCTTGGCAGAGCCATTTCGTGTCTCAGAACCTTGTTTCCCTACATGTGGAGTGGGAGTAATAACAACAGCTCATGGGGACATAGACTCACTGCATGCAAGTAACATGCAAAAATTCCCAGCAATTGTGGTTACCTTGGCTAGGCAAGGATTATGCTTGACTGAGACCACACTGTGGTTCTCAGCTCTGTTGGTCCCAATGCCCCCTTTTTATAACAAACATTAAATAAATTTATTATCCTGAGTTATATTCTGAAAAAGAAAATTCTCCTGCCTATATACATAACTGAAAAAAATCAATATAATGGCTTAACTATAATTAAAGGAGAAATAAAAGGAAAATAATTTCTAATAAAGTAATATGTATTTCAGTGTGCAAATGCTTGTGTAATACTACACTAGAAAATATTATGAAGCAATCAGATACTTGTACCCACTTATAATAAATAAACTTGGATTTAAGCAAAGAAGAGTCAGAAGCCATTGTGTACGAGAAGTACAGAAAAAGAAAAGAGCAGAGAATGTGTGTACCCTGCAATAACAGTGAGCAGTGATAACAAACTTGACTTCCTGGTGTATGATAAGAGAAAGAAGGAAATAACATAACTGAAGTAGGGATAACATTACATACTGGGAGGCAGAGGAAATGAGGAAGGATTATGTTCCTGCAAATGACCTCGGTCTTATTTATAAAAGGTGTGTCATGGTAATTCCCAGTGTTAAGATATGTGACAGGTTGGAGGCCAAGTGTCACAAAAATATGTCAGTTCTTGACATCGCAGCCCATTGCAAGGCATTCATTCAGTCTCTGAATGTTGAAGAGGGGCACATGAAATGTAGAAAGATTCTCCATAATGCAGGACTGTCCTTGCAGGATAGCCTGCATCCCTGGGTCCCTGCCAACTAAATGCCTGCAGCACACCAGAGCCTACAAGTTTCAAAAATGCCCTCAACGAAATGCTCTGGTCTAATGTTCCAGCAGGAATGACATTCTTTCTGTCATCCAAATTTTATTCTGTAGATTTACAGGCAGACAGAAAATAGACTTTCTGTGGGAAAGTGTAGACACTGGATGGATGGATGGATGGATGGATGGATAGATAGATAGATAGATAGATAGGTAGAAAGAATGAATTTTTGAGGGCCTCCTGCTATACATGCTGCTCTAGAACTTTTGATCCCTTCCCTCTTGAAACAATAATCCTGCCTTTCTTGTGCTGATGATCATGGGACTCTTCTGGAGTTTGGCTGACTAGAATCACACCAGCCATAAATGGTTCTTTCTCATCCAGGTAGGATAGATGGTACCATCTAATTAGATCTTTGTGATTCTAAAATATATGCCACCTCCCACTTTTTATTTGGATGGGTGAGTGGCTGGGGTGTCTAGTTTATCCTGTCTCTCTTTCCCCCCGCCCCCCACTTTGTTTTTGGCCTCACCGTGTGGCATGCGGAACTTTCCTGACCAGGGATGGAACGCTCGCCCCCTGCAGTGGAAGCGTGGAGTCTTTGCACAGCTTGTGGGAATCTCAGTTCCCTGACCAGGGATTGAACCTGGGCCATGGCAATGAAAGCCCAGAATCCTAACCACTAGGCAACCAGGGAACTCTGTCTTTTAAGGCAGCGCTTCCCACCTGGGGGCCAAGGGACTCAAGGCTTGCCCTTGTAGCCGGCAGGAAGCTCTGCCTTAGGGAGACCGTTCTAGTGGCACAGTTTTCAGGGGGAGGAGGCTGCTTACAGAGGTGGATCAGTCCGGCACAAAGCACCTGCAGTTCCACAACTGAGGCAGAGTGTTTGGAAAAGGTAGATGACATGTTTTCCTTTACTGGCATTTTTAATTTGTTTTAAATTTAAAAGTAACATGTGGTTATTGAAAAAAGAAATTTCAAACAATACACAGGTATATAAAGTAAAAAGTCCATTCCCCTTTGGTCTCCCGTTTCCCCATCCCTCACCCTAGTAAACATTTTCCATCTGAACTCTATTCTGTATATTTACAGACAGACAGACAGACAGGAAATAGACTTTCCATGGGAACATCTAGCTGTTGGATGGATGGATAGATAGATAGGATGAGTGAATGAATGAATGAATTTTTTAAGGGGCTCCTACTCTACATGCTTTTCTAGAACTTGCTTTTTCACCTAATCATGGCCATGAATAAATATCTTTTCAGGACAATATGAATTGCTCTACCATGTTCTTTTTAATGACTGCATAGCGTTCCTTCCCAGGGTAGCTCATAGTCTGTGGTCTATTTAACCATTCCCTATTGGTGTATATTTGGATTGTTTCTGAAATTTTACTCTCATAAATAGAGTTGCTGAATAACTTCTACCTTTATCCATGCTCACTTGAGTTGATATTTCTTTTTTTTATATTTTATTTTTGGCTGTGTTGGGTCTTTGTTGCTGTACGTGGGCTTTCTCTAGTTGCAGCAAGTGGGGGCTGCTCTTCCTTGCGGTGCATGGGCTACTCAGTGTGGTGGCTTCTCTTGTTGCGGAGCACGGGCTCTAGGTGCACGGACTTCAGTAGTTGTGGTGTGAGGGCTCCGTAGTTGTGGCTCGCAGGCTCTAGAGCACAGGCTCAGCAGTTGTTGCGCACGGGCTTAGTTGCTCCGTGACATGTGGGATCTTCCCAGACCAGGGCTCAAACCTGTGTCCCCTGCATTGGCAGGCGGATTCTTAACCACTGTGCCACCAGGGAAGTCCTTGAGTTGATATTTCTGGGTAGATTTCTATAGTAGGATTGAGGGAATAAAGGGTTTGTACATTTCACAAATTGCCAAACTGCTCTCTAAAAAGATCCCACCAGAGATTCCCCTGGTGGCACAGTGGTTAAGAATCCACCTGTCAATGCAGGGGACACAGGTTCGAGCCCTGGTCTGGGAAGATCCCACATGTCACAGAGCAACTAAGCCCGTGCGCCATAACTACTGAGCCTGCGCTCTAGAGCCTGCGTGCCTAGAGCCTGTGCTCCGCAACAAGAGAAGCCACCGCAATGAGAAGCCCGTGCACTGCATCGAAGAGTAGCCCCCGCTCGCTGCAACTAGAGAAAGCCCGTGTGCAGCAACAAAGACCCAACGCAGCCAAAAATGAATAAATAAATAAATTTTAAAAATAAAATAAAATAAAAAGATCCCACCAACTGATACTCCCACCAAGAGAATGTAAGAGGGCTGGTTTCCCCATACTCACCCAACTCTGGGTGAGCCTTTCAATTTTTGTTGCCTATCTGAAAGGCGGCATAAAGAGTTTTCTTCAACTTACCTTAGAAAGGCTGTAAATTAAGAGGCAGCTGTAATTCTGTAGTTACTCCTTGATGGTTGTGGAGAAGAGATGTAATCATCTCTTTGAAGACGCCCCTCCCCTCTGTCACCTCTGATTTGTAAGGTGACAGTTGTCCCTTCCCCATGGAAAGTAAGCCCAGAGGACAGAGTTTTGCAAATATCTGGCCACTGTTTCCACCTCTCCTGCCCACAGTCAGCCAAGCACTAGGCAACCCTTGGTGAGAGCAGATGGTCAGCATAGGCATGTCCTGACAGGTAATCCCACCCCTGCATCCCACCCCTCTGCAACTAATGGGGGGCCCCCCACCTGCTCTGTCTGTTCCTAGCCTCATGGCTGATCTTTCCTGGACATTTGATCTAGAGATTTTTCCATAGGAAGAAGAGCAAGAGGCCAGGGTACCGTGGAGAGGAGGCCAGATAATAGTCATGAGAAACATTTGTGAGTCTTCCTGGAGGAGGCATGCTTAGACACTGTGGTTTGAAAACCTTGTGGGTTTCTCAGAAGGTGGGTCTGAGGGCTACTGGTCATGATCAAGGAAAGACTGTTGGAGCCTTGTCCCAGATGCTGTTGACTTGGGCACTCTTTCTGCAACTTCCAGACATCATCAGGAAGGGGACTAGAAATAATCATCTATGCATCAAATGGTGCATCTGGAAGGGACCTTGACACTATCAGTTCCTGTGTTTTGTTTTATATTTTACTTTTTTAAATGAAAAATTTCAAACTTATAGAAAAATAGAATAATGTAATGAACACTCACACACCCACCACCTGAAATTAACAAGTATTAATGACTGCTGTTTGCTGTATGTAATTTTATGCTATATACTTTACAGGAAATTACAGATAATTATGACTTTCTACCCTTAAATACATCTCTAAACATTAAGTTCCTATAATTTAAATTTAAAAAAACTTTTTTTGGGGGTTTGGGCCATGCTGCACAGCTTGCGGGATCTTAGTTCCCCCACCAGGGATCAAATCTGGGTGGGCCCACGGCAGTGGACTGCCAGGGAATTCCCAAGTTCTTGTGATTTTAAAAGCTCTTCTTTCTTAAAGCAGCAGAACCATTTTATTAAATGAAATATTCTGTGCATGTCCAACAGATGGAGTTGTGCTTGAGATATATCCAAGTGGAGATTTCAAGTAGGCAGTTGACCGTGTGTGTCTGGAGCTCTGGACAGAAGTAGGAAGTGGAGATATGGGTTTGGGATGTGTTTAAAGCCATAGGACTAAATGAGGTCAGTAAGAGAGTGAGTGGAGAGAGAAGGAGGAGAGGAGGCCCCAGGCACTCTAGCATTGGAGAGAAGCCAGCAGAGGAGGCCAAGAGAGTGGCCTGTGGAGTGAGAGAAGCAGGACGAAGAGTGTCTCTGGGGCCAAAAGAAGAAAGTGTTTCAAGAAAGAGGGAGTGGTCAGCTGTGCCTGCTGTTGAGAGACTGAGTAAGCTGAGGGCAGAGAACTGACCATTAAATTTAGTACAGATGGGGAACCAAGGCCCAGAAAAGGGTAAAGTGGGAACTAGAAGCACCCATCTAACATATAGACCTCACAGATTACAGATGAGGAAACTGAGGACCACAGAAGGAGGGTGACTTGCCTGAGATCACACAGTGAGTTAAATGGCAGAGCTGGGACTAGAGCCCAGGCCCCTTGGTGCTCCCAAGGGTGGACTTGACCTACCTAACACCAGCCTTCTCCCTCAGGCCTCAAGCTGGATCCTCAGGCCTCAGTTTCTTGCTGGTAATTCCTTTGCAGAGGATTACCAAATACCCATTGCTGCTGCAGAAAATTCTGGAGAACACACTCCCTGATGCCAGTGCCTACCCTGTCCTTCAGAGGGCTACCTCTGCCCTCCAGGACGTGGTCACCAACATCAATGAGTACAAGAGGCGCAAAGAAGTGGGTAAGGACTGGGGGCATTTAGGCGATACATGAGTGAGAATGCTTCTAGTTACAAAAAACTCATCTCAAACTGGCTTCACCAGTAAAGGGAATATAGTAGCTCATGTAACCCACAAGTCCAGAAGTAATGTGGGCTTTAAGTAGGGTTTGATCAGGGTGCTGGCATCATTTCCCTGCAATTCTCTTGTCTCTGGCCTTTACTATGTGTCACCTTCCTTTTCAGGCTGGCCTCCCTCATAATAGTAAAGGGCTATTGCTGTCCTAATACTCACATCTGCACACCACATTCTCCAGGATAAGATGGGCCCTTTCTCCCCTTAGCTGTAAAAACTAAATTGGAGTTTCACTCTGATAGGACTCATTTGAGTCATATGCTCACCCTGAACCAGTTGCCATGGTTAGGGGAATGCCATGAACTGATTGGCTTCAGCCTGGGTTATGTGCCCTTCTTTGAACCTATCACTGTGGCAGGGGATGGGGGGATTATGTGAATTGGCTTATAACAGTCAGCACCCACCCCTTGAACTAAAGTGGAATCAATCTTATCTAAACAACATGTCTGCTATACTAAGCAGAAATGAATACTGGGGAGGCAAAGAGCTGTGTATTTATCAGGGGTGAGGGTAAGAGGAGAAAGTGGGGAGGTTGCTGCCTCTGAAGTTGTTAAAACAGAAAGGTCTGGAAAGTGAAGCAGTGTCCCAAGTAGATGAAAAGCTCAGTTGCACAACTCAGACCGTATAGTAATGATAATTTAGCTAATGTGTACGAAAGGCTAACTGTGACATGTTTTTTTCACTCATTATCTTGTTTGATCCTTATGATAGCCCTGAGGTTGGCAATGTTAGCCCCATTTCACAGTTGGGTAAAATGAGAACTTAAGTCATTTGCTCCAGACCTATCATCTGATGTGATCTCCTAGCAATCCTGTGAGGTGGCTAGCCTCATTTACAGATGAGGAAACTGAGGCCTAAGAAGTCAAGCAGGCAGGAAGCTCTTCAGTCAGGGTGCTCACCTCAGAGTGAGGGCTCTGAGCCCTGCGCTTTTCCTCTGAGATTCACCATTCTAATGGGTGTGACTCTGACATTTGAGAAGAGGGCCCAAGAAATGCCTTGCCAGGTATGTCAGGGGCTCTTGCTTTCCCGGGTCAGCTCTGGTTCCTGTGCCCTCCTTCTCTTCTGTTGGTGCAGCCTCCAAGTACACCAAGGTGGAGCATCTGAGCCTCCGGGAGCGACTGGCCCGCATCAATATGCACACCCTTTCCAAGAAGACCACCCGGCTGGGCCAGCTGCTGAAGCAGGAGGCGGGGCTCGTACCCAAGGTGAGCACTGACAGGAGGAAGGGTGGTATCCCAGCCATCCCAAGGGGCAAGACTGTGCAGTGCGGGGTCTTAGACTCCTTTCGGAGATGAGGAAACTGAGGCTGAGGGAGTGAACTTCCAGCATGCGTAGCCAGGACGAGGCAGAGTAGGTGCCGCCACTTGATTCTGCAGAGCCAGGGTGGGGCTTTCTCCTCTGCATCTTGTTCTGCTCTTTCTCTGGGGTCTCTTGATACAGATAGGAGATGTCTGGGTCTTGGCAAGGAACCAGCCTTGAATAGGTACTAGTAGCAGCTCAGGTGGATTGAGTACTTACTCTGAACCAGGCATTAATGGATCCACTCAATGAAGTAAGTTCATACTATTCCCATATTGCAGATGAGGAAACAGGCTCAAAGAGAGTAAAACACTTGTCTAAGTTCACACAACCAGGAAGCAAGTGAACCAGGACTCACGGGCTCTTGTGTCTGATTCCATTGTCTGAATACAGAACCACCAAGCTGTACTTACTGCCTCTAACTGTCCCACTCAGTTTTGGGGCTGGAGGAACTGGCTCTGAGGGGTGGGTCTGTGGAAAGGTGGTCCCTGGTAAGGACTTGGGAAATGGGTGTACACTGGCCCCATGTGGATGTTCTCGGCCCTCATAAGCATAACTTTACTCTCAGACAGAAGACAAGGAATTTGATGACTTAGAAGAGAGTTTCCACTGGGTGTCGCTGTGTGTGACTGAGCTGAAGAACAATGTGGCTGCGTACCTGGATAATTTGGAGGTGAGGATCCTGTGGTTAATAGTGGGTAGGGTGGGGCGGGGCTGGGATCCCTGGGCAGGAGTCATGCAGGGCCCATTGAACAAGCTGACAAAGACACCAACTTCAGGAACCAAATGGAAGAGGGCATACAGTTGCTGGCTGGAGGCCAGAAGAGGGGCCGTTCGCAAGCACTCCTCAGCCCACAGGTCATCTGACTGGGGCACCTTCTGAGTTCATTGAGTTCTCAGTGGGGCCGTGTTCTCACTGGGTAGGGTCAGAATTCACTGGAATCAGAGCCCTCTGGAGGGAGAGCAGGGGTGACAAACACAGGTGCTCAAAGGGACCAGGCAGGTAATATTGTTGACTGAAGTGTGCAGGTGTATAAGGCCTATTGTCTATTTATGAGACTTTTTTGGTAGAGTTCAGTATGTAGTAATAGTTGGAGTGTGAATGACCAAATAAATGCATGAATGGATAAAATGAAAGGGGTGAGGTATTCCTTGGCTCACAGGAGTTGTTACTGTGCGGGAATGTGGACCCAGTGCTGCCAGTTCTTCTGATTTTAAGGAAGAAGAAAACTGGAAATTCAGACCTTTAGGTGAAATCTCACCATGTGTTCATGTGAGCAGCTAATTAACTAAGAATTTAAATGTTATGTGGGCCCAAGAAAATATATTTCTGCAAACCACATTCAGCCCACAGGGACACTAGTTTGCATTCCCATCCAGCACATCACTTTCCTTTCACCAAAATTCCCCCTTCATTCTTGTCATGGATGCTGACTCATTCCATCCACTCTGCCCCTTTTGCATGGTTTTGTTCTCAATCACGTCCATTTGCACAAACCAGCTCAGTCAGACGATAACAGACTCTTTGGATAATAGGATTTGGGGTGGCATTATTGAAAGTATGTAGAAGGAGGGAGGTTGTAGTTCTACGTTCCTCACTGTGGGGCACGTTCCCTGCTTGTTCCTGCTCCATCTTGGGCCCCCCAGAGGAAAGATCTGGACAGCACAGTGAGGCAGAAGAGGAAGGCCCTCAGAGAAAGAATGGAGGGGCCCTGAAAGAGAGAAACCAGAGGCCCATGAGAGACACATCTGGCTTTGCAGAGTAGAACAGATATTTGGAAGCTTTAAGGCTGTATTTCCGTAAATGCAGGACTTACACGACGGATACAGTGTTGACATGGAATCCCACAGTGAGAAAATGACTCTCTTTTAATCCTCAGAGTCCAGGAAAAGCCTCTTTTTCTGACATGTCTTAAATAAACAGGCAGAACAAGTCTCCGGCTGGAAACCTTCATCAGGCCATCACGCCCAGACAGAACTTAATAGCACTGTTTTTATAGCAGTTATTCTTACATGCTTATTTATGGCAATTATTACTGGCTTTCCCTTTATGGGAGTATCATAAGGTGGTTTTTTTTTTTTGGCCGTGCCATGCGGCTTGCAGGATCTTAGTTTCCCGACCAGGGATTGAACCCAGGCCCTTGGCAGTGAAAGCATGAAGTCCTAACCACTGAACCACCAGGTAATTCCCCATAAGGTGGTTTTTTTTAATGCATTGATTTAAATAGGGATGCTAGGTTGATTTAAGGAAAACTATTTTTTTTGAATTTTATTTTATTTTTTTATACAGCAGGTTCTTATTAGTTATCTATTTTATACATATTAGCGTATACATGTCAATCCCAATCTCCCAATTCATCACACCACCACCCCCACCACTTTCCCCCCTTGGTGTCCATACGTTTGTTCTCTACATCTGTGTCTCTGTTTCTGCCCTGCAAACTGGTTCATCTGTACCATTTTTCTAGGTTCCACATATATGTTAATATACGATATTTGTTTTTCTCTTTCTGACTTACTTCACTCTGTATGACAGTCTCTGGATCCATCCACGTCTCTACAAATGACCCAATTTCGTTTAAGGAAAAATATTAATAGAACTCGAGGAACATGGACATGGCAAAAAAAATCACAAAGGAGATATGTAAATGTGTGAAGTTGAGGCAGCACTGAATAGGGAGAAAGATGTTGGCTCAGTCTAAGGAGGAACTTTCTAATCACCTAAGTTGTGCAAGGATAGAATAGGCTGTGTGCAGACACAGGGAGGGTGTGCAGACAGCCTGGGCACTTCTTCCGGTCTGTGGTGGAGGGGGATTCAGGTGTGAGATGGTGACGACGGGACATAATTGGCTCTCTCATTTCATCCCATCTAGGCTTTCCTCCGCTTCCGGCCCCAGGAATACGATCTGGACATCCCTGGGGGGCCTGTGGTGCAGTACTGTTACCTGGCAAGAGACCTGCAGCTCCAGACCTTCCCTGAGTTTGTGAGCGGAACTTCTCCTTTCTTTTTTTAGGCAGGTGGCAGAGCCTATAAGAATAATATTTAGAAGCCAGGCCTTTTCCACGACTGTCACATCCATAACAGTCCTGGGTAGTCAGCAGGGCAGAGATTATTATTAGTGCATTTTCCTGATGAAAATAGCCCCAGCTAGTGTTTACTGACCCTTGTTATCTGCCAAGCACTGTGCTAAACTCTACATTCTTTCCCTCATTTAGTCCTCACAACACAGCTTACAGGGTAGATACTATTAATAGCTCCATTCTGCAGATGAGAGCTTGAGGCTCAGAGAGGGTGACCTCCAAGGTTATTCAGATGGCCAATGGCAAGGATCTGTGCCCCAAGAACTATGCTTTTGACCACCATTCCATACAAAATTTTTCAGCATCTGTGCACAGTAACCGTATTAAGAAATGACATATATATTGAATACTTATTCTGTGCTAGGCACTCTGCTTGTTACATACATTGTCCCTATTTTTCAGATGGGCACATTGAGGCCCAGAAAGGTTGGATGTCGTGCTAGAGGTCACAGCTGGTCAGTGAGGGTGGGACTGGAGCCCAGTCCTGCCACATCCAAAGCCCCTTCTCCCTGTGCCCCGCCCTCTGCCACCTCCTTCCTCAACTCCCAAGTTCACCTCTCCCCACAGAAGCAGCGGCTGGAAGCCCTGGTGTGGCAGCCATTGTGCAGCCTGGCCAAAGCCTTGGCCGGCCCTCAGAATCTGATCAAGAAGCGTCTGGACAAACTACTGGACTTTGAGAGGGTGGAAGAGAAGCTGTTGGAGGTGGGCAGCATGACCTATGAGGAAGAGGCGGCCCGGCACATGTACGAGGCACTCAACTCCCTGCTAGTGGCTGAGCTCCCACAGTTTAAGCAGCTGGCCGTGCGGTGGCTGGGCCAGATCCTGTGCACATTTGTGACCCTCCAGAGGGACCTTGCAAAGCAAGTGCTGCAGAGAGCAGAGGGCAGTTTGGCCCAGGTAAGGCCTCTGGGACTGGGGTGTGCCTGGGGTATAGCCAGGCAGGGCCTGGTCGCCCCTTCAGCCAGCTGTTTGCAGGGGCTGGTCTGGGCCTTCCAACAGGTGCTTAGGAGGAGGTTGTGGGGACCTTCTGGATCTCTCTTATGCCTGTTCTCCCTCCATTAATAGAGTCAGATCATGAAAGCAAGAGTGGAACTGGGACTCCAGGCCACTCTCAGGCTCTGGGACTCAGAAGCACAGGAGACTCTGCTGGGAAAATACAGGCCTTGGGGCCACTCCCTGGAGTGTATTAGAAGTAGGTAACAGATGGGACTTCCCTGATGGTGCAGTCGTTAAGAATCTGCCTGCTAATGCAGGGGACACGGGTTCAAGCCCTGGTCCGGGAGGATACCACATGCCGCGGAGCAACTAAGCCCGTGTGCCACAACTACTGAGCCTGCGCTCTAGAGCCTGTGAGCCACAACTGCTGAGCCCACGTGCCACAACTACTGAAGCCTGTGCGCTTGGAGCCCGTGCTCCACAACAAGAGAAGCCACCACAATGAGAAGCCTGCACACTGCAGCGAAGAGTAGCCCCCGCTCGTCTCAACTAGAGAAAGCCTGTGCACAGCAACGGAGACCAAATGCAGCCAAAACAAAACAAAACAAAAAGAAGTAGGTAACAGAGAAGACAGGGTCCTTTCTACACAGTCAGGAGTAAATGTCTCAAGCTGTGCTCCTGCCACTGTTACTACTTCTAGCAGCTGCCTCCTTGTAAGCCCTTATGGTACATCTGTTTGGAACACTTTCCATATATTGTTTCACTTAATCCTCACAATAACCCTACAGAATAGATATTATTATTATTCTCGTTTCAAAAGGAAGCCAGGGCACAGAGGTTAAGCAGCTTGCCCAAAGGCACACAGCTAATAGCTCAGTTTGAATCCTGGCAGTTCAACTTCAGAGCCTGGGCTCTGAACCATAGCGCCTGACAGCCTGTAAAAGGAGCTGTCTGCTGAAAGCATAAACAGGTCACAAAGAGGTTTAGACAAATCTCCAAGTGCAAACTTTGATTTTAGAATTGTGAAGATTGGGTTGGTATAGGAAAGAAATCTCTCTCTGATATCAACATCAGAGCTTAATGGCCTGTGGATCTAAGCTCTGGAGAAATTTCGGTACTGCTCATACCGCATGCTGTCTCCTGTGCTTCATGTGCCCCAGCTCAGCTTTCCCCATCCAATCTGTTGCATAAAAATTCCTCTAAAATTTGCCACCCACCCCCATCACTACCTTTACAGCCCATAGTCCCCCTCTGTATCTGCAGCCTCCACTTCCAGTGCACCACTTCTGAGTGTGACCACGGTCCCTTTGCACAGACTCCTTCTTCAGCCTGGAATGTCCCTCCCTGTTGCCCCCATGCCTTTCGCAGTGCCTGGCCTATGGTGGGGCTTGCCCAAATATGTGACAAATGAATGAATCTCTCCATGAAGCTCTCAGAATCCCCCTCCTCCAGGTGGGAGAACCCACCTTCCCATCCTCTGTACCCCAGCAGCCCTTAGGATGTGCTTCTGCTAAGCACTTATCAGAGCCTGCCTACTGCTGGCCTGATGGATGAAGCCGGTTCCCCTCATTGAGCTTTTCTTCTTTTTGGCCCTCACAGCATTTAGTACAGAGTTCTGTCTCAGACACTCTTTTTGAATTAAGCCTGAACCATCTGCAAAAAGAAGCATTGCTCTTTCCTGAAGGCAGAGGGTAAATTTGATTAGATGATCTTTTCATTCTTCTCTCACCCTCTAGTTTTCTGTCCAGGGGAAGTCAACTTCATAAGAGCAGAAAGAGGGCATTTCTTTTTTTCTTTTTTCTTTCTTTTGGGGGATGGGGTGGGGCTGCGCCGTGTAGCATGCGGGGTCTTAGTTCCCCGACCAGGGATCGAACCCGTGCCCCCTGCATTGGGAGCACTGAGTCTTAAACTCTGGACCGCTGGGGAAGTCCCAGAAAGAGGACATTTCTTGATTGATCCTGTAATACAGAATCTTAGGGCCTGTCAATGATTGATGCCAGCTTCCTGTGTGTGTTGTATGGCCCATTCACCTGGACAGTCCTGTGGAGCCTGGGAAAGGCCCACATGGTAGAACCTCAATCTGTCTTCATCCTGGGGGTAGGGGAAAGGCTCTGAGCTAGAATGAAGCGTGGTGATTTTGGTGACCAGCAGAGAGGACATGTCTCTGTTAGCTGTGGGGCCCTGGTCACTCCTAGGCTGTCTGATGAGAATGCAGGAGATGACCAACAGGGCCAAGGTCCCGGGATGCACCATCATTCAGAGCTCCTCGGGTTCCAAACCAGCTCAGGCATAAAGACCTGTATAACTGGGAGGCCAAGGAGGGGATCAAGCCTCGGGCCCAGCTGCAGTCAGTGTTGCCTAGCTGCAGTCAGTGTTGTCGAAGCTCTGACTTTCACTCCCGTCTCCTGGCTGTTTCCCTCTCTGGGTTGGTTTTATTGTCAAGCAGGCCTTTTCTGCAACGTTGGAGAGAGTGGCTCCCAACAGCTCTAAGCGTTTACATTTACATCTCAGAATCTAAGAGTCACCCTCTCATTCTCAGCCTTCATGTACTAAATCTGATGGGAGTGGGAGTTAGGGATTGACATGTACACACTGCTATATTTAAAAATAGATAACCAACAAGGACCTACTGTAAAAAATAAAATGAAAATGAAAAAGTAAAAAATAAATTAAAAAATTAAAAAAAAATCTGATGGGTGGTTTCCAATTGGCCTTGCTCTGCTCCACTATCTACTCCCTGACCGATCACAGTGCTTAGGAAAAGGGATGCCATGATGGCCAGTCCTGTGGTCAGGCACCAGGAGGGGCAATACCGCTGGACCCCCAGAGAAGGACGCTTCCTTAAAGGAAGGTGGGGCAGTAGCCAGGCCAAAACAACAGCTGACCAAGACATAAAGGGCCATCCTAACACATCTAGGGCTGGGGTGTGGCTGTCAGGGTCTCCCTGTCCCCTGTCTCCCAAGGAGGGCTCTGATGACAGTGTCTGTCCCCACCTAGCTTCCCCACCACCACCTCTCTGATCCAGCCTTCAGGAAGCTGGTGGAGGATGCACTGGGCCAGACCAGTCATCAGCTTCACTCCTTTCAAGAGAACTTTGAGAAAGTGCTGCCACCTCCCACCACACAAGTAAGTGTCCCTCCTTCCCCTGCAAAGACTATCCAGTCCTTCACCTGCCAGTGGAGTGAGGTCAATCCCCTATTTTCTTTCCCTTTTCTTGTCCCAGTGTTCCTCCCCCTCTCCTTTCTCTGTGAGCTGGGGGTGGGGGTCGGGTGGGAATCTCATACACACACACACACACACACACACACACACACACACACACGCTCTTCATGGGCAGTAAGCATAAGAGTGCACACACACACACACGCACGCGCGCGCGCTCTTCATGGCCAGTAAGCATAAGAGCACGCGTGTGCCCGCGCGCACACACACACACGCACACACACATGCTCTTCATGACCAGTAAGCATAAGAGCGCACGTGTGCACACACACACAGTGCACACACATACGCTCCTCATGGCCAGTAAGCATAAGAGCGCGTACACACACACACACACACACACACACATACGCTCTTCATGGCCAGTGAGCATAAGAGTGCATGCGCGCGCGTGCGCGCACACACACGCGCGCGCGCACACACACACACACGCACACACACACACACACGCACGCACACACACACACACACACACACACACACTGTTCATGGCCAGTAAGCATAAGAGCAGGTCAGGAAGAGGAAAACGCAAACATTTTACTCTTAGGTGAAATTAGACATCATAATGGCTAAGTGGCATTTACAGCCTGAAACTTGGAGCTTCAAATTTTTCTCAAAATTTACCGTTTCCTCACCACCTTCTCATGGAACCTGCTTCAAATACTAGCATTCAAGATGAATTAAAAAATTTGAATAAGAAGTCATTTAAAATTTCTTTTTGCTGTGGAATTTTTAATTGCAAAGGACAGTATCTCAGCTGCATTGTGGTTTACAAAACTTTGGCCAGCCAAAGTCTTTTTTTTGGTAAAGCATTTTTCTCTAAAATATAACAAAAGGGTATCTTGCAGTCCACTTGAAGAATTCTTCAAGAATATATAAAATATTGTGTAGTTACTTTTAGTATATTTGAAAAGTAACTGAAGTAGCTGAAGGGAGCACGGGCTCCCAGAGCATCATGAAACCTGGTTTGAGAAAACAAACTGTATTTAGTCACATGTGAGATGTGAAGTGAAGGGTCAGGAGACAGCTCCAAGATTCCCCAGAAGGGAGAAGGGGCCCCAGAGACACAGGGGGGCAGTAAAGGAGCCCAGCAGAGCTGGACAGATACAGGCGGCCTTTGCACCTGGCCAGAGCACAGAGGACATCAAAGACCATCAGAGGTGTATGTGCACTTCAAGTGGGGCTGACTCCTCCTGGGGCCACAGCTATCCCCGCTTCCTCGCCCACCCTGAGATGCCCCAGCAGAGGACTCATCAGGGCTGCCGCATGGGCTCTGCAGCTTGGGGAGAGGAAGGGTGCAGAAAATCAAGAAGAGAGCAGCCACTCAGATGAGTAATGGAAACTTCTATCTTTTTCTACTTAAGACAAAATAACATTTTTCTTATTGGAAAAGCAATCCATGCTGATTGCAGAAAAAAAAAAAAAAGAAGATACAGAAAAAATAAATGGGAACATCATAGTCCTAGTGTGTTGGTAGGAAGAGAGGAGACCCCCCCCCAGCCCCACCCTCCCCGCCTTCTCTCACCCACCCCTGCAACATACACACACCCTCCTATAAATTCTTGACTTATTTGGCTACGCGTACAGAACCCAGAGGAGTGAGGTGGCCACCCAGGACAGGAGAGTCCCAGTGAGATCTTTACAGGCCTCCCGGTCCCTCCAGGGAGCACTGCTGTTCTCTGCACAGGTAGGGGCAGAGACTTGAGAAAGAAGGCAAACGTTTGCTACTCCATACTCCTGTTAACACCACCATTCTGAAAAAGAGCTACCCTGTCTCTACACTTCCATTTGAGGGCCTGTTTAGAAACCTGGAGTTCTCCTGGTTCTTGATCCTGATTCAGGAACCTATTGGAGGTAGGGGTAATGGCAGAGTCCATGCCCAAATGTCCCTGAAGGGCACCTCTGCCTACCTGCCTACACCCAGCACCTCTCCACCTGGAAATAATCATATAGACTATGATGAATATATATCTATTCATATATATCTAGCGAGAGAGAATATATAATAAATCTATATCCAACATTTTAAATTTCTTCTTTGTTTTACAAAAAGGGGACAATCGCCTGAGTCCCTTCTTGTTGATACTTTTGCTGGAAACAGTGAATGAAAAAACAAAGGCAGTGCCAGGAGATTTTTAGATGCTCTGAAAATGCACTGAATCATTCTCTTCAACTAGATGGCAATTTCCATCGGGGAAAAACTGTTTCTGCTATGCCATTCACAAGGCTTACCATGCCTTGTACATGGTAGGGGGCTCAATAAATACTTGTGGACTCAAAATGCATGGAATAAAAAACCACATTTTCTTTGTTCACACATGTGTCTACATATGGTGGCCCTGTGCTAGCTGTTTAAGATGCCAGGCGAGTAAGGCCTGGTGCCCACATGAAGCTCATAGTTTTGCTCATTGGGGTTAAAAGACATGTGTAAGGCATTTTCCTGTGGGACAGCTTAGCTTGATGCTATGGGCAGAATTGAGGCCCCAGTCCTGGAGTTCTGTAATGGATAGACTCAGAAACTGCCTTAGGAGTTTAGAAAACCCAAGAAGTTTAGACCAGAGAAGGATTTTAGAAGTTAAGTTAGAAGTTTCTTCTGAAATGCCTTTGGATACTAAGAGCATGTGTTTCTCATCTGATCCAGCCATCTATTAGTGAGGAGACGGTTGCCCCGACTGGGATGGACCGATGGGCAGCAGAGGTGGGCTTGGCCCAGGACTCCTAGCTGTCAGAACGTGGGCCAACATTGGCGCCAGCTTTAACACTCCAGCTCCAACACCTGTGCCTGTCTCTGTCCTTTCTCTCCCAGCCACTCCTTCCAGGGGCTGAACACCAGGTGCAGGCTCTCCTGAGCAGGTATGGCCCAGGAAAGCTGTACCAGGTGACAAGCAACATCAGCGGGTCTGGGACTCTGGACCTGACTTTGCCTCGGGGCCACGTCGTAGCCCTCCTTCAGGACAAGGACACCAAAGGCAACAGCAGCCGATGGCTGGTGGACACTGGAGGTATGTGGGACTTCATGGGCACTTCCCCGCCCTTTGGGAAAACTGTCCAACAGGAGCCAGTGGGGAGACATAGGCACTCTTGTGGGCAGGGGTCCAAATCCAGGATGGGAATGAACATAGGTGAACATGGAGGGCATGGGGTACAGCTGGCTTAGTGTGGTGCATGATATGCCAAAAAGAGAAATTCACTCTTACATTACAATATCCATTATCAAGCACCTACTGTGTGCTGGGTGCTGTGTAAGGAAGACAAAGATCTGCCTTGGGGACCTCACAGATCATTTGTGTAGACAGAGTTGTGTGGAGAGAACTGAGCATCACTTTGAAGGAATGGAGAAGGGATGGAGATACGCAGAGAAGTGACGTTTAGATCCTGACTGTGTAGACAGAAGTCTGACATCCAGAACAAGGGAGGTGTTATCCTGTTCCCTCTGCGCTGGTCATGACCCTGGTGTGCTGCTCAGATGTAGGGGCCCCAGGAGGGAGCAGCGCAGGAGGCAAGGAGCACCATGAACCCAGGAGGAGAAGGCCCACCAGAGTGTCTTCCACAGAGGGGCATGTGACCCACAAGATGAGGGTTACACAGGATTATTGGGAGAGGATCTGCCGACAGTTTTTCCCCCTTCAGACATTTTATTTTAATTCAGTATTTTAATGTGTATTAGAAAAAATATAACTAGTACAGAAACCCATGATTTTATTCATTATTATATAGTACAACATTAAGTTTTAAAAAGTGAGTTTATTAAAAAAAATTAAGATGGTACAAATCTGGCAAGAATCATGAAAGGGTAAAATCCTAACTCAAGTTGAAAAACAGCTGAATGGGGATTAAAACAAGGTCCTTGGGGTCAAGAGGACCGGGTTTGGGCCCCAACTCTGCACTGTACTAACTGCATGACCCCGGAGGAGTTATGGAGCCTCTCTGAGCTCGGTTGGCTCAGCCATACAATGGAGATAACAATATGGACCTCAAGAGTTGATGGAAAGACTAGGTGATCAGATGCTGGTTCTGGCACCAAGCAAGCTCTCTGGAGGTGATGGCCATTCACAGTGACAGCGACCAGAGCACCACTGGAGTAGCTGTTACACGAGAAAGAATTGGGGGCACTTGGAGAAGAGAAAGGGAATTTCTGCCTCCTGGGAAAGGCAGTCCTGCGGTGAGGAAGTGGCCTTGCTTGGAAAGGAGACCAGTGGTGCCAGCACCAGGAAAATAGTCTTCATACCAGTCCGAGGAAGAACTGTTTTTTTTTTTCCGAGGAAGAACTTTTTATCTCTGCCAGAGCTGTTCCAAATGGAGTGGGCTGCCTCCGTGGGGAATGAGCTCGCTGTCACTGGGATGAACAAGCAGAAGCTAGAAAGAGTGAGTGCAGGGTGCGGGGTGGGGGGCAGTTTGTGAGGTTCCGCGATAACCTTTTGAGGTCCATTTTAGTGTGAAGAAGCTGTATTGGAGATATTCACATCTGTGAATGGTGGTGACTTCCTCTACCTCTGAAAGGGATGGGCAGTGTGATCCACAGCCAGATAACGTTCTGTGTGTCCTGCAGGACATCGAGGGTACGTGCCAGCTGGGAAACTGGAGCTGTACCACGTGGTCCCCCGTGAGGAGGAGCTCAGAGGGCAGGCGAGGCCTCACAGGGACTCCCAACGTCAGACACCAGAGCCCACCTTGGCCTCTGTCCCTTCTGTCCCAGCAGTGACCCAGGTGAGCCTGGAAGAGGGCGGGTGGGTTCACATCCCCATGGCCATCTGGAGTGGGGCTTTGATTTTCCTCCTGTCCAGAGGGACTACCACCCTGTGAGGCCAGGGCCTCGGTCAGTGGCCACACCAGTGTCCTGGCCAGGGTGGGACCTGGAGAAAGGAGCCTCTTGTCCTTGCCACATCAAGAGCAGGGAGTTAGTCCCTCGCTCCCCATTAGCAGAGCACGTGGGATTATTTCGTTCATTCGTTTGTTCATGCATTTGTTCATTTATTCAGTATTCACCAGGCACTGTGCTAAATAAGAGATGCAGTGATGAGCAGAAGTCAACCTTGGCCCTTGCCTTCCTCAAATTTATAATCTGGGAGGTGGGGAAAACAGCAATTAATAAAATAATCATATAAATAATCACAGTTCTATTAGTGCTAAGTGCCAGAGCCTTAGGTGTGGGAGAGGTTCAGGGAAGGTCTTTCTGAGAAGAATCACGCTTTTGCTCAGATTTGAAGGGTGGTTAGGAAGTAATTGGATAAAGGGTTGTGGATGGGAAGAGCTTCCCAGAAAGCATGCCCAGCGAATGCAAAGGCCCAGCGTCGGGGAGGACAGGGTGAGTGAGGAACTGAGTGGAGCCAGTGGGGCTGGGACGGTGAGAGCGGTGGGCTGGAGAGGTGGGTGGGGCTAGCCAGCTGGGCCTGTGGCCTTGGTGAGGGTGTTGGCTTTCCCTTAAAAGCCATGGGAGGAGGGCTTCCCTGGTGGCGCAGTGGTTGAGAGTCCGCCTGCCGATGCAGGGGACACGGGTTCGTGCCCACATGCCACGGAGCGGCTAGGCCCGTGAGCCATGGCCGCTGAGCCTGCGCTCCGGAGCCTGTGCTCCGCAACGGGAGAGGCCACAACAGGGAGAGGCCCGCGTACCGGAAAAAAAAAAAAAAAGCCATGGGAAACTTGTACATGCATGTTCGTTGCAGCGTTATTCATAACAGCCCCAAAGTGGAAACAACCCATGTCCATCAACTGATGAAGGAATAAACAAAATGTGGCACATCCACACAATCAAATATTATTCAGCCACAAGAAAGAATGAAGTGCCGACACATGCTACCACATGTAGCTCGGTAGAGAAGGCCATGTAATGTATGATTCTCTATACGAAATGTCCTGGATAGACAATTGCATAGAGACAGAAAGTAGATCAGTGGTTGGCAGAGGCTGGGGGCAGGGGGAATGGGAAGTGACTGCTAAGTGGTCTAGGGTCTCTTTTTGAGATGATGAAGATGTTCTGGAATTAGATAATGGTGATGGTGGCATAACCTTGCGAACATGTTAAAAACTACTTTATTGTACACTTTGAAAGGGTGAATGTATGCATGTGAATTAGATCTCAAAACAAAAAGTGTTGGGAAGGCTTTTCGGGGCAGAAGCTTAGTGGGGTCGCTGTGAGGGCTGATTGAGGTAGTTAGCTGGCTGGCATATGTGAGCCTCAGTAAATGGAGGCTGCACTCACAGTTATAAAGGAGGAGCTTCACAGGTGATGGATGAACAACAGAAAGGACCCAGGCTGAGGGGTGGGAGCCCAGAGGCTTGCAGTGAAGAGCCAGGGGATGCCGCAGGCCAGGGTGGCTGAGGGAGCCTGGAGTGGGCTGCAGGAGGGCTGCATAGAAGCCTGCGGAAGCTGTGATGTACAGCTGTGGCACATGCTGGGAGGGCTCTCAGGCCAGTGCCGGGAGCCTTAGCTAGAAGTGGTACACCAGGGCTGCCTCCTGTTGGACATACCCACCCATCAGCAAAGAACCCACAGGGATCCCACCAGAGAGCCTCGCCACCCAACTCAATCCCAGTGGCCGCCAGTGTGAGTAGTGTCCCGGAACACCCGCCCAGGGGCTCATGTGGTGAGCTCAGCTGTCCATCTGCCCAGACACAGCAGCCGCTTCCTCTTTGGTCGTGGGGCTGCTCAATGGGACTCACGTGGGGTCATCCCAGTTCCCCCTTGCCCCTGATTGTTCCTGAGCCTTGGCACACAGTAATAAAAGTCATGGTAAAAATAGCGAAAGCAGCCTGCATTTGTTGAGCCCTTACTATGTACCAGGCACAGGCATCCATTCATTAAATTCCCACAATTAGCTGGAGGGAAGGATATCATTACTTCCATTTCACAGATGATGAGAATGAGGCCCAGGGAGGTGAAATATCAGCCTAACAAATGCCCTCTCCTCCAATTTTTTTTTTTTGCCTTTCAACAAAGTCACCTAACCTCCTTCCTGTCTCTGCTCCAAGCTGGGAAACTGGCCTGGGCAGATGACACCCTTTGATCTGAGGAGGGTTGTGGGGAAGGGATGCTGCATCCCCTGCTCGGTGAGATGGCAGCAGTGGACTGAGAGCACCCCTTCTGAGGTCAGACAGGCCAGCTTCACTCTGTGATTTTGAATAAGTTCCTTGACTTCTCTGAGTCTCAATTTCCTTATCTGAAAAATGGGGCAAACAGAATTAGAGAATTGTGAAAATCAAAACCAGGCAAAGAGCCTGCCACATAGTAGCTATTAGTGGGAGTAGCGGAAGTAGCTGATGGCTTTGGACAAAGGATGTATTTGGGAGGCAATGACTGCTCAGCGATGGGGACTGAGTCGGGTGGGAGGGAAGAGGATAAACAGCTTCTCTAGGTCAGGTTTGTCTGTCCTCCCACCCTGACCATTTCTGTGTCGCTCCCCGTGTGTTTCAGGTGGTGGCAGTGTACCCCTTTGTGGCCAGAAGCAGCCATGAAGTGAGTCTGCAGGCAGGCCAGCAGGTGACTGTCCTGGAGGCCCAGGACAAGAAGGGGAACCCAGAATGGAGCCTTGTGGAAGTGAACGGACAGAGGGGCTATGTGCCTTCCAGCTTCCTGGCCAGGGCCCCAGGTCCAGCTCTGTGGGGCTGGAGTCTGCCCTCTTAGGGTGCCCTCCTTGGAGCCCATGTTCCAAGAGGCTTAGAGGCTGTGACCCTGGGAGGGAAAAGAAGCAAAGAGAAGGTGGGGGTGGATGGGGAAATCAGGCCAGGGTGGGGTGAAGGGCACCCAGAAGGCAGCCAGAAGAGGTAGGTGGGCCTTGCAGAGTGCCTGGCGTGGATGAACATGAAAGGCTCCAACCAGGACGGCTCATTATGTCTTCATGAAGAGGGCGTTCCAACCTGAGTCACAACACCTGGGATGGCAGGTCACAGCTGATTGGCCAGGACTTGCTTATGGCCAATCTTACCTGTGCTCCGTCTGGTCCTGCCCATGGGAGTGGGTCCCCCAGGTGAGCTTTACCTGTGCGCTGTGTGGTTGCATGGAGGC